AATATAATTAAGAAATACTAGCTTATTTATTAAAATTTAAATTAAAAGAAAACATATATTTTTTTGTAGTTTTTCAATCTTTTAAAAATAAACTTACTAAAATACGATGAAAAATAAAATATTTAATTTATATATAAAAGCAATATTTATGTACTAAAAATGGTGTAATACCTTAAATTCGGTCAAAAATTACGTGTCTACAGTTTGCTCCTCTTTGACTGGAAACACGAAGAGTTTTCAGACCAAGAAGTAGATAACGTGACAAATTTTGACCGGACTTGTATTTGAATAAAAAATTTGCAACAGAGTCCTTGTTTTGGACAGCCTACATATCCCAGGTTATAAGGAAATCAGGTCACGTGTAGTTCAAGGAGATGAGGTGATGAGTTAAAAGTTAAGTGAGGTTCCATCGAGGCTCCGGGTCGCGGCTCTTATCCTTACATAAAAAAAAGCTAATTGTCAAAAGAAAAATAAAAGTACAAGCTCTTATCTATGCAACTTCTCTTGAGTCTTCACTTGAGTCTTGACTTTGAGATATCACCTTGATTTTTGGGTGAGTCTCTTGATCTTGAATTGAATTTGATGCTTAACTTGCCACTTAGACAAGTTTTTTGCACTCTTCGAAATGACAATTTGAATATGTTCTTGAATGATTGCATGTTTTCTTGATCAAAAGTTGAATAGAAATAAATGTCAGGAAGTCAAGCTGCTACATGCATAGAAGAAGCTGATTTTGGCTTGAAGAAGCTGACTTTGGCTATCATGGGATTGATCATTCTGAAAAAGAGTTGAAACTTTATTCTTGAATTTCAAATCCATGTTTCGCTTGAAGAAACCTGAAAACCATCACAAACAATAGAAATAAACAAAAAATTTGCCCCAGTTTTCACTGGAAAATTTTTGTGAGTTATTAGCAAATGTAAATTAAAAATATAAACTCAGACTAGGAAGTGTTTATCCTATGAGAAAAAAAAAATGGTCTCAGACTAGGAAGTGTTTATCCTATGAGAAAGTAACCAAATCACATTATGTAGGAGGGTCTTGCTAATCCCATTGTCCATGAGGGTCCTGCTAATCTAATTCTCATTGTTTAGGAGGGTCCTACTACTCTAATTCCCATTGTTTAGGAGGGTCCTGCTAGTCTAATTCTCATTGTTTAGGAGGGTCCTGCTACTCTAATTCCCATTGTTTAGGAGGGTCCTGCTACTCTACTTCCCATTGTTTAGGAGGGTCCTGCTAATCTAATTCTCATTGTTTAGGAGGGTCCTACTACTCTACTTCTCATTGTTTAGGAGGGTCCTGCTACTCTACTTCCCATTGTTTAGGAGGGTCCTACTACTCTACTTCTCATTGTTTAGGAGGGCCTGCTACTCTACTTCTCATTGTTTAGGAGGGTCCTGCTACTCTAGTTTCCATTGTTTAGGAGGGTCCTGCTAATCTAATTCTCATTGTTTAGGAGGGTCCTGCTACGCTAATTCCCATTGTTTAGGAGGGTCCTGCTAAACTAAATCATCAAATACAATTACCATAACATTTTTTTTAATTTTTTAGATTAGAAAATGTTTATCCTAAAAGAAAAAATGAAAAATAACTGCCTCAAACTAGAAAGTGTTTATTCTAGGATACAGAAAATAAATAAATAAATAAAATAATAATACTAATAACGGTCTAGGACAAGAAAGTGTTTATCCTAGGAGAAAAAATGAGAAATAAATGTCTCATTCTAGGAAATGTTTTTCCTAGGAGAAAAAATGCATGTAATTTTTTATTTTATTTTGCAATAATGTTCACAAATTTGAGTCTTTCATTTTTTTTTCCTTTTTTTCCTTTTTTTTAATGGCAGTCGATTTGTGGCATTTGACTTTGAGGATAGCTTCTCCTATTGTTGCCATGTTTGAAGCTAATTTTAGCTTTGAGATAAACTGCTTTCGTTTGCTAGCTAGCTCACCTTGATATTCTTGAAAATATCTCTAGTTGTTCAAAACTTCCAACTTCATACTTGTTATATTGTTTCCACCCTCCAACAATCATTGAATCTTGTATTCATATAAATTCTCAAAATTTGTCAATTATTGGCAAGTTACTATGCATAACAATATTTCTTGAATCATGTCACATTTGAGGTGCTGACCAAACTTTGCTTTGTACAATTGAAAATATGGTAGCAATTTTGAAATCATTTTCTGCTTGCTTTAATGAAGACTAATCCAAGGGAAAAAATGAAATCGAATTGAGCAATACAAAATAAGAAGAAGGAAAGTAAAATAAAATAAAATTGACCTTTAAGAGAAAAAAAAATGAAAAAAAAAAGAAACTCCTTTGAGAATGATGGTCAATTCTAATGATCATGACATGCATGTGAGATTAAATGGCTTGATTTGTCCAATCAATCTAAACTTTATCTTTGTCAAACTTTCAACCTTCTGAAGTCAGACTTTTATAATCCAACTTTTGCACTAGATTCATACTTCACATTTGACTTGTGGTGCCTCGAAAGGTTTTTCACCAATAACCTCTCTCATTTGTATGTCTCTCACTCACATCGTCTTATAGTGCCCTAAGGGTTTTCACCAATAAAACTCTCTCATATTTCACTTTCTCTCAACACAAATGATGCCTTATAGTGCTTTCGAGAATTTTCATCGATAAGATTCCTTCATTTTTCGCTCCTTATGCAAGGGACGTGACATTTTTCCTCATATGATAATCAACACTGAAAGCTTGCTTGACTTGTCATTGTTAAAAATTGATCAGAAGGTCTTTATTTGGATTGTAACGTGGCTTTTGGACAGGGTTACAAAGAAAGGGTGAAAGCTCAGATATAATACTTATAAGATGGTTAAGACTTACGACTTTTGAAATCGACTCTAAATAAACAAATAAACAAAATAAAATAATAATAATAATAATTATTTTTTTTTTGCCCCAATTTTTGTGATGAGGATCTTAGAGATTTTTTTTTTTGGTTGGACCAAACCTCAGAATAAGGCTGCCTACATATCTTGTCAAAGCAAGAATCAGGTCGAACGTAGTTCAGGAAGTTTGTTCTTTTGTTGTTATTGATTTTTGCAACCCTTTTTTTTTTACTCTTTCTGTGACTTCTATTTTTTTTTTTTTGAAGTTGTGACTCTTTTTTCCTTTTTTTGAATTTGTGACTCTTTTTTCTTTTTCTTTTTGACTGTATTTTGATTCCAAAAGAGGGGTATGAAAGAGAATAAATTTAAGGCTCAAAAGGGATAGCAAAGGATTACACAGTGTTTGGATAGTAGAATGAAATGTCTTCATCATATCAATTATTAATAATGACAAGTACAAGCACGCCCTTTAAGATGTGAAGTGAAAATCATACATTATCTCTTTGCAACGTATGCATTGATGGTTATGTATATCAGCTTGAAATCTCCATTTGAGTAATACCTTCTTGACAAAAAATGACATACATCAATTTAAATGAAACTTATTCTTTTAACCATTTTCGATACTAAAGGACGTATCAAGGTGTTTAAGTCATTTATTCATTTCCTCGAATGTATTTATTTTTTGACTTCCATGGTCTATTCATTTCATGGCTAGATATAATCTTAAGATCTTTCCAAATCTTCTTGCATATCATGTCACAAAAATTGAATTGAAAAGAAATGTATGTGGAAAGCCAAATAGAACGGGCCACTTTGACACAAAATAATGATTATATTAAAAAAAAAAAAAAAACTCGATGACTAGACAACAAACTAAATTTTAGGTTACAACTCTATAATAACCCAAACTACAACAAGACTCAACAAACAAACACATAAGAGAAATGATAGAAAGGTTTGACTTACTAAAATAAAATAAAAATGAATTGCATAGCAGAAATGATGACAAAATAAAATATCCATACACTCTTTTTGAGAGAAAAGAAGAGTGTATCCCAATCACCAAACTTGACTTGTTAGCCACTACTTTGCACGCTAGCCTTCATGAAAGCTCCAACAATTTCAATTGTCTTTTCCTGAGAATTGAGAGAATTGTCATATTCTTTGTCATCATATATCATTTCGATGAAATGTACATCACTATGCGCCAGTAGAGGATTCTTAGTAACATTTAGGGGGTCATCATTTTGAACCACAATCATCTCTTCCACCTTTCTTCTTAAATTTCGACAATCTTCAGAACTGTGCCCTGGAGCATCATAATGGTATGCACACCGTATTGTATGATTGAAACCTTTTGCATGTGAATTCACTTAATTTTAAGGAATTGACTCTATCATATTCAAACGTTTCAATTTCTCAAATACACTTGTGTAAGACTCTCCAATTGGTGTGTAATTGTTCATAGGTATTTGACCTCCCTCAAATCCCTGTCTTGGACGGGGATTATAAGGTGCTCGAAAATTTTGAGGAGAAGGACGAACATTTTGATTTGTTGGTGCTCTCCATTGAGGATAGTTTGGTGGATATAGATATGGTTGTGCACCATTGATTGCATATTGAGATGGGACAATAGAGTATTGTGTATCTTGCTTTGGGAGATAGTGATGAAATTGAGGTGGTGCATATGGATAAACTAGACCCCTTGGACCCTTTTGTGAGTCTGACACAACATTTACTACATTCTTCTCATTTTCTTTTCCCCAAGATTTTCCTGATCCATTTTTAATCACCTGTGTTGTAGCTTTCAAGGTAGCTTGACTTACAATTTTTCCAGACTTGATACCATTTTCCACCATTTCACCAATCTTAATAACTTCAGCAAATGTTTTTCCAACAACGGAAAGTAAATAATGAAAGTAGTCTGGTTCCTGCGCTTGAAGGAAAACATCAATTATTTCAGACTCTTTCATTGGTGGCTTAACCCTAGCAGCTTGCTCCCTCCACCTAATAGCATATTCACGAAAATTTTCGATGGTCTTCTTCCTCATGTTGACAAGTGAGGTACGATCTAGAACTATGTTAATGTTATATTGAAATTGTTGAACAAAACATCGAGCCAAATCATCCCATGTATGCCAGTTAGAAGTATCTTGATCTATGAACCATTCTGAGGCAATTTCCATCAAACTTTCCCCAAAATAAGCCATGAGCAATTCTTCTCAGTTGATTATAATATCTCTTTAAATGAGCTACAGGATCTCCATGTCCATCATATTTTTTGAACTTTGGAGTTTTAAAACCGATGGGTAGATGAACGTGGGGAAACATGCACAAATCATTGAATGAAACACTTTTGTGACCTCTCAATCCTTGCATATCTCTTACACTCTGTTCCAAACTCTTCATTTTTCTAGCCAATTCTTCATGTTCCTCGTTCTTAACAGCTTTTTCAGCCTCAACATGAGAACTATACTGATGAGTGTGAGGGTAAGAGCTTGGGATTTTAAAAGTCAATTCAAGAGTATAATCTCGATCATATTGAACTTTGGGTGGAGGATCGTTGTTGGATTTTGGCTCCATTATAGGTTGTTGAACAACATTTGTCAGCACAGTTGCAATGAATAGTGGATTACTTGTCATAGGCGTACTCAAAGGGCGCACCGTAGAAGTTCCAGCTACGTTAGATGCGTTAGCATAGGGACCGAATCCTAGTGGATAAATTGGATCACTCATCGATACTTGGACATGGGGTGACATATTTGTATTTAGATAGTCATGGATTGAAGGTGGTGGAGCTTGTCCACTCATCCAAGCTTCGTACATCTTCGTCATTTGTTGTCTTAGTATCCTTATCTCTTCGGCTGACACTGTTTCTTGTGACATCATCTGGTTCTGGACCTCATCATTGTCCGACTCATTTCCGTCTTTGTGAGTCATTTTCTTTTTCCCTTTTGACCTTGTATTGTAGGGATGAGATGCCAGCTTAACCACAAATCAACCACCTTAATTTAACACATAGATAATAATGCTTGTTAGGGTTAAACCTTCTTCAGTTATAAGTTTTTTTTTTAAAAAAATGATTTAATAATGCATTGATCAAATCCGTTTGAGATTGCGTACGTAACACGCTTGCGAACATGACTAAGATCTTTGCATATTTTTTCAAAAACTCAATAACTAAGCTTTTCTTTTTTAGAGCTTTGAGATAAAATTCTTTTGTTTTTTTTTTAAAAAAAAATATTAAAAGAAAATTAATAAAAACTTGTTTTTGATAAAGATTAAAGCTTCTTGTTTTTCATTTTTTTTTTTTAAACTTTTGAAAAAAGATTTTTTTTTTTTTTTTTTGAATAAAGATCACCGAACTCAAAGAGGGTTGCCTACGTATCTCATTGAGGTGAGAATCAGGTGTGCGTAGTACGTCCATATTGGACAGAAAAAAAAAACTTTGAAATATTAAAAACTTTATTCTGATAAAAAAGCAATTTTTAAAATATTATGAAAGTAAAATATTTTGATTTTTTTTTTATTAACTGTACAAAAGGAAATTTAATTAATTCTTTTTTGTAATTTTGATTAAATTGTGAAAAATCTTTCATTTCATTTTCTAGAAAGGTATAATATCTTCTAAAAGAAGAAATATATTATTTTTTTTTAAATTTTTCTTCACTAGTCACACTAAAATGAGTCAACTTATAGAGATTTTCTAAATAAATGCATTTACACGTAGCACATAAAATGATTTAAGTGATCAAGTAAGAGAGGGATACTTGTCCTGAACGGACCCAACTCTTGTTTTGAGGCTCACTAAGTCACATGAAAATGATGCAAATAATCTGAGTCTTCTAGGTATAACCATGTTTATGTTCTAGTTTTACTAGGTTCAAACCTGGATAAGATAGGTATCTAGACTGACTTACCCGAGTAGACAACTCGAGCCAGGGAGGGGCAACTTATCGGTAGCAGCGCTATTCCGACTTCATTGCTGGTCCAACCCCGCCTAACATATGTGACTAAATATCCTTCACTGGGTGTCAAGACATTCCAGCTTTATCTCAAAAGAAAATAGGATGCATAACTGCATTCTTGTGAACGTGTGTTATGTGTATTCAAAGACTCACATGGTGTGCGTGAGAGAAAATAATTTAGTATAGTTCAACAATATAAATATAAAAAGCAATAAATGAGTAGCAAGTAGCACATTAGGCCATCAAACACAATATATCGAATAAATAAAATAATAAAATCAAGTAAAAGTCAATATAACAAAGCTCGAATTCTGGTTATTCCCCAGCAGAGTTGCCAGAGATGTCCACCCTTTTTCGCGACAGCGGCGAGGGTTTTTTCCAATTTAAGTGACAGTATTGAATAGGGATTATTTTAATTTTCAGAGTCGCCACTTGGGATTGAGTTATGGTGTTCCAAGTCACCTTTTTGAATCCCTAATCAATAGGAAATGACTCTTTATTTTGGTCTGTGAACCAAAAAATTCAGGTAAGAAATTCTATTGACCGAGGGGAAGATATTAGGCACCCCTCGAGTCCCGTGGTTCTAGCACGGTCGCTTTTATTGACTTATACTTATGTTAAATTATTATTATTATTATTTTGGATACATTATTTTAGGCCATGATTTGCTTTTTTTTTTTTATTGTTGAATTTTTATTAGTCTGAACCTAGATGTGTGACCGCATTCTTGGTATTGACATTTAGAGACATAACTGTCTTCTTTCTCTCGAGTACCTCACACCTAATAATCTTAATTTACACCTTTTGATTTAAATTACTAAAAATTAATTATTAAACAATTCGATCGAGGTGCGCCACCGCATCCTTGAATTTCTTTTAAGTGTTTCAAAAAAGATGTATAACCACATTCTCAATTGAAACCATTTTTAGCGTATCTAAATTTGCCTACAAAAATTAGTCTGCCAATTTTTAAGCGCGAATCAAATGGTGCCGAACTACCACTGACCACAATAATAATAATATTAAAAGTAGTAATAATAACATTATTTCATCATAAACATGTGCACAATAGTTATTACTCACTGTTGAAATTTTCTTATTAGTTTTTATTTTATATATTTATTTACTAAAAACTAACTAAGTTAGCACTCAAAAGATAAAAACAACACCCATATTATTGCACAAAAATAACTTATCACTTATTTGAACACAACTCAACATATAATTCATCAAAATTAATAAGGCACCAACACCAAAACAAATAATCACAAGTTATACAATTTTATTTCTACATCTAATGATATAAAAGGTTCAAACAAATTTTAATATTATAATGCTAAAATTAAACACACATAAATTTGAGCAACTTCATGATATTAGAATCACATCTTGTATAATAATGAAATCAAATTATACAATGAAGATTAAATGGTACCTCTTGCGAAAATTCAATTCACGAAAAGGAAAAAATCCTAATAAGGAGCCACGAACTCAAAACCACGAAAGTAAATCTCAAACTCAACCTCTAAGTGTGGGGTTGGAAGGAATTAAAAAACGTTTAGATGTTTGGATTTTTTTTTCCTATACGTACGAGTGTCTTTTGGTATGAATGTATAGTGTATTCTTTCTTCTTCTTTTTTTGTACGTTTTTTTGTGTGTGTTGTTTGTGTTTAGGATGCTGAAATTTGTTTTCTTTTTCTTTTCTTTTTTTCCTTTTCTGTGTTGGTGTAGAAGTATATAGGTGTAGGGTGTGAAATTGTGGTGGGGTCGTGGAGGAAAATGTGAGGTGAGTGGGGGTAATGTAGTGGGGTAGTGAGGTAGTGTGGGTAGTTTAGGTTATTATATTTATTAAATTAAATATATATATATATATATATAAAAATCATAATAATAAAAATATTAATTAATTATTTTGAATTAATAAAATATGAGAAAAGTCAAATAGCTAGTCTAAAAATATAATTAAGAAATACTAGCTTATTTATTAAAATTTAAATTAAAAGAAAACATATATTTTTTTGTAGTTTTTCAATCTTTTAAAAATAAACTTACTAAAATACGATGAAAAATAAAATATTTAATTTATATATAAAAGCAATATTTATGTACTAAAAATGGTATAATATCTCAAATTCGGTCAAAAATTACGTGTCTACATATGAAATCTGAACGAATTCCGAGGGACCATTTGATGATTTTGTAGTTGATTGTGTTTGTGGTGTCTGCAGGCCTCACTATTGCAAAAGCCAGCCTGCTTAAGCAAACCGGGAGTCGCATTTGGAACGTTTGCTTAAGCGCATCTATGTCCCTTTTGCGAGATCAGAGAGGTTTTAGATATGCAATTTCGGTGGTTTACCCATTTTTCTTCCTTTTTGAGTTATTGGAAAACCTTTGGAGGTGATTTCGAAGAGATTTATTGTGCTAAATCATTTGGGTAAGACTTTGTGACCCTAAAACTTCATTTCATTTTATCATTTTTGGATTTTAACATCAAAAGTTGAGATTTTGATTGGCACATGACAAGATTTTTCAAGAACTTGAATTTTTAAGTAAAATGATGACTGTGAACTGATTTTAATTCCTTTTTCAAAATGGTTTTCACCAATGAGTTCTAAATGCCTTAGATAACGTTTTCAAGTAAATATTTTCGAATTCAAACCTCATTTTCAGAATTGAGTTTTTGAGTTGATTTGACCCATTTTTCAAAGTGAATGATTTAGGTGTAGTTATTTTCGGAATCTTATTGTGATTACTTGATTGAATTAGATTGTATGACTTTGAACATTGTTCAGAAAGGAAAGGCTCAAGTCTTGAATTGAATTGAGGCAAGTGATTTCTAAACTAGTAAAACTACTAGAATCATATATTTCTCTTCATTGTGTGTGTTGGAGAGTAATGAAAAATGATGTGATGAGTTCAATTATTCCACTTGATTGATCTTAAAATGAATTCAGAAAATGACATTTTAAAAAGAGCAACAATACCATGAACTAATGTGTATGCTAGCTTCTTGATTTTGGATATGAATTACATACAAGTAATTGGTGAATCTGTGCAATTACCCAAATAAGAAATTATAATCCCAGTAACCATCTCGAGCATTATTCTCCTTTCCTTGGCAATAACACCTAGATCGATGAGTTTGAACCAACGATTCATCGGGTTGAATTTCTTGATCAATGTCCACTCCATACATGACTTGACGCATATGACAAGTGAGGTGCAGTGTATGCCTTCCCTCCAAATCGCACCGTCTCAGACCCGTTTCTCAACTCCTTAAAAAGAGTATCAGGCCAAAATCCAATAGCAAACATTGTGGCCAACTGAAGATAATACTCTGTATGTGTTGCAATTATTATTAATAGAAGATACTTAAGGTAAATTTGAATTAATAAACATATATGACATGACAAATTAATAAGTAATTACCTTGATCCTTGTAGATCTGAATTTGCAATTCTTAGTCATCAGATTGTGGAGAGGAGACTATTGGGAAAGCATAATCTACTGGTATTTCACTACTTAATTACTTGAACAAATCCTGGACAAATTGTATTGTAACATCCAGTTTTCTGGTGGACGTCTGCCTAATACACAACAAAAACTATTATAAGCAATTAACTAAATTGAGTAAGGATATGATAAATTATTCTTAATTAAAACACTTACTGTCCAGCGAGTATACAATCGAGTCCGTCCGTCACCGTATAGTTTTGGATGTACCTAAAATTTTGAAGAAAAAAAAAAATCAGTTAAGGGAAATAAAATTAAAAAACTTCCACTTTATAAAGTGTAAGAAAAACTCACTTTACAAAGTGTAAGAAATAGTTCCGTTATATATTAAAATATACACGTTATGAGACTAACAGAAAACGTTTGGAATATTTCATAAAACGGAATTTTTTTTCTTCCACTAAGCCTATTTTAGTTACTTACTAGAATAGTGACTTATTTTGGTCACTTTTATCTTTT